GCTCATCTTGGGGGCACATTGGGCCGTGTTGGGGCGATTTTGAAGGCTCCCTGGGCAGTTTTGAACGTTATGAAACCTCAAAGTCGTTCATGCGAAAATTGCATTTTCTAAGTGTATTTGGCGATTTGTGCTTCTTGGGGCCCTCTTGGAGGGCCTCTTGAGGCTCTCTCGGGGCTTCTTGGCGGCCTCTAGGGCTGTCTGGAGGCCTTCTTGTGCGTCATTGAGCGATCTTTCGGCGACTCGGGGCCTCTTGGATCGTCTGGGGGGCGTCTGGGGGGCTCCGGGGGAGCTTGCGGGGACCTTGCCGGGAGTCTCCCAGGTTTCGGCTGGGGTACTTTTCGTTCCGGGACTTCCAGGGGCCGCCACGCGCGCGCGAACTAGATCGTGTAAACGTGTACCCGGAGATTTTGGCATGCCGCTGGCCCGTTGGGCCGGCGAATTCGTGCTGCGAGAAGTGTCCCACTGGAAGACACCCGTTTGATCGGAGGTGGATAGACCCCCTACTCCCTGACAGTCTTACATCGTGCCGAAACACTATTCCTGGGACGTCAGCCATACAATCAGTTGAAGTTGTTGTAACTTTTGAAGCGACCGTGTGCGTCGCTGAGGCGAGAGCCACACGTTGAAAGGGATCCGCCCTCTATCCGTGAAGCTGTTGCAAACTGTAGAGACGAATGTGCGCGGCGCCAAGGCGAAAACCACATTTTGAAAATGGCCCGCCCTCCATCCGTGATATTGTTGCAAACATTTATTAAGACGAATGTGCGCGGCACTGAGGCGAGAGCCACATTAAAACCGGCTCGCCCTCCACTGTTGTAAATTTCAAGTTTCAGGATCATAAATGGTGATGAAGCCTCGCAATCCCTGGGGTGCTGCGATCTGCGAAACTGTCGCCACTTCCGAGGGCGTCTCGGGGGTCCAGCGGAGTGACGTCGCATGCGGATCTAAATCAGACCTCGCCATTCGTGGGGGGCTGCGATCTGCGAAAGTGTCGCCATTTTCGAGGACTGCTGGGGGCCCAGAGGAGTCACGCTGTACGCGGATCTAAATTCGACCTCGCCTTCTGTGCGGGGGCTGCGATCTGCGAAACTGTCGCCACTCTCGAGGGCTGTTGGGGGTCCAGCGGAGTGACGTCTCAAGCGGACGTGAGTTAGACCTCGCCATTTGTGTGGGGCTGCGATCTGCGAAGCTGTCGCCACTTTTCGAGGGTTGCTGGGGGTCCAGCGGAGCGACGTCATACGCAAACCTACAATCGACCTCGCCATCTGTGGGGACTGCGATTTGCGAAACTATCGCCGCTTTAGAAGGGGTCCAGCGGAGTTGCGTCTTACGCGGACCCAACTTTGACCTCGCCATCCCTGTGGACGCGCGACCTGCGAAGCTGTCCATACTCTCGGGGGCTACTGGGGGGCCCAGCGGAGTGACGTCTTACGCGGACCTAAATTAGACCTCGCCGTGTGTGTCCGCGTGTCCGCGCGCGCGCGCGCGTGTGTGTGTGTGTGTGTGTGTGTGTGTGTGTGTGTGTGTGTGTGTGTGTGTGTGTGTGTGGGCTGCGATCTGCGAAACTGTCGCCATTTTCGATGGCGTTTCCGGGGGCCAGCGGAGTGACGCCGCACGCGGATCTAAATCAGACCTCGCCATTCGTGGGGGGCTGCGATCTGCGAAAGTGTCGCCGCTTTCGAGGGCCTCTTGGGGGTCCAGCGGAGTGACGTCATGCGCAAACCCAAGTTTTACCTCGCCATCTATGGGGGCTGCGCTCTGCGAAACTGTCGCCACTTTCGAAGGGGTTCAGCGGAGCGGCGTCTTACGCGGACTTAGATAACATCGCCATCTGTGGGGGCTGCGATCTGCGAAAGTGCCGCCACTCTCGATGGCTGCTGGGGGTCCAGCGAAGCGACGTCTTACGCGGACCCACATTAAACCTCGCCATCCGTGGGGGGCTGCGATCTGCGAAACCATCTCCCTTTTCGAGGGCGTCTCGGGGGTCCAGCGGAGTGACGTCGCACGCGGATCTAAATCAGACCTCGCCACTTGTGGAGGGCTGTGATCTGCGAAGCTGTCCATACTCTCGGGGGCTATTGGGGGGCCCAGCGGAGTGACGTCTTACGCGGACCTAACTTCGACCTCGCCATCCCTGGGTGCTGCGACCTGCGAGCGTGTAGTTACTTTCGAGGGCTGCTGGGGGTCCAGCGGAGTGACGTCACACGCGAACCGAAATTCGACCTCGCCGTCCCTGGGGAGTGCGACCTGCGTGCGTGTGGCCACTTTCGAGGGCTGCTGGGGGGTCACCAGAGCGACATCCTACGCAGACCTAAATGAGATCCCGCCATCGGTTGGGGGGGCTGAGATCTGCGAGATTGTCGCCAGTTTTGAGGGTCGCTCGGGGGTCCAGCGGAATGACGTCCACGGCTTGCCAGGGCTGGACCATGCACCGCGGAGTCATTGCCGACGTTGGGCGCAAGGACGCGGAGGACTTGGACGCCTTCCGGCTGCATCTCCTACGCGTTGTTCTCCAGGGCGACGACGGTGGACAACTGCTGATGCTACGCGATGCTGGCCTGGATTTCCTTTCCCGCGGAAGGCCCGTAGACTTGGCGGCGCGCCTGCGGGCGTTCAGCTCCCGCAGTAAAGGGTGCAAGAAGGAGGCAGAGCAATGAGGGGGCGAGCTAGACCTCGTTCGCCTCTTGTACTGGAGCGCCGCTGCGACGTTGTGCGTGCACTGCTGCGCGGGCGCCAGTCGGGCTGCCCCAGACAAGCAGGATTCCAGCCGAGCTACCACCCCAACGAAAAACTACCCAGTCAGCTCGGTGAGGGTATACCCCTGACGTGCAACTTCGGGATCCGCGGGCACTTGCTCCTAGCCGTCAGCCCGCTCCGATGTCCAATGGTGTCCGTGGTGACCTACAGGAGATGGGCTCTGGGGTGCGCGCGGGGTTTGCGTCCTGCTTCCTCTCGTCCGCGCCTCGGGTTTACATGTGCCTTCGCTTGAGCTGCTACTGCGCGATTGCTTGCGACGTGGCGCGGGGCGCGTTCGCCCTCCCCCCCCCCCCCAGTTACCGCGTGCCATAGTTGCTCCGCGTCTACCGCCCTACAGATTGACGTGTGCGTCCTCAGCAAGGGATGTGCCCTCGTTGGGCGAGCGCGGCCATGGGCGGCGCTCGCGTCATGGCCATGGGGCGAGCGCGGGTACTTACGAGAAAACGGTGAAGGCGGCGCGTCGATGAGCAGTCGGCCGCCGAGGACTCCAGCTTGGAATGGGAAGAGATGAGAAGAGCGACGAACGCGGAGATGAATCAAACTGGCGAATTCGATGAAATACTCCGCGGCCCTGTGGGCGTCGCGGACGAGGGGGGGGGGGGGAACTCGTGACTCCGCCTCGAGCCGAGAGCAGCGTGGATCCAGACTGGGACCCCTGCAGGCCAGATGTGAGTCCAGCGGGCCCGCCTGAAGCGGTGCCCGACCGATTCATGAGGCTCATTGAGGTCAACGAGGGTCGCCCTGTGGGGGCCCGCGCGTGTGTCTTTACACGCGGCGAAGCTTGCTTCGGGAGACGAGTTCGACCAGTCCGAGCCTTGCTCCGAGGAGGGTGGAGAGTCAGAAGCCCAGGGGGATCCAGACGAAAACGTGTAGGTAGAAGAGGCGAAGGCAGACGAGGGCGGCGATGGCTGTGCCAGAGTGCCCCCCGCTCCTCCTGCGCCGCGCTAGCGGTCTGAAAGGGTGGCGAAGTTGCCTTTTCTCCAGATTGAATCCCTCTCGATGTCCTCGCCGACGTATTACCCCACGTCTTCGGGTGGATGGGCTTTCGGCTCGCTGGGGCGCCGACCCCGCCCTGGGGCCATTGGGCCCCTAAACAAGAGCTGCTGCGCTTGGCGAGGGGGAGTGGGAAGGCGGCCTGCCGCGGACTGCACAGCGAAGGACGCAGTGTGCATGGTTTTTTCTTGTTCAATGAGGGAGAGGAGGACATGGTCCTCCAGGGATTTGCCTCCGGAGTTGCGAACAATCTTGGGGCGGCGCGCAGAGGGGGGCCAGCTTAACCCGCGCAGAGGGGAGCGCGAGGGCCCCTCCAGGATCGGCAGCTCGCGGCCGCGAGGACCTCCACCGGCGGCGCGCGGTTGGAAGGACCAGAGCAAACTACCGAACAACAGCGTGAGGTCGCCGACCAGTGTCTCCGAGCACGTTTCACCGCGATCGAGTCCCAAGAGCTGCCTGCCGCGGCGCGCGAGCTGGCCCCGATGTTCCCGCGAGACGACCGACGTTCGTACGCGTGGTGCAGCAACATCGGGGAGGAAAATATCCAGGCCGTGGAGCGCTCCAAGCTAGCTGCGACGACGACGACGACGGCCTCGAAGGGAACTCCGTTTCTTGGAGCGTTCCAAAGCAGCGGGGGCAACGACGACGACGATTTCGAGGTGACCTCCAGTCGTTGGAGCGCTCCAAGGGAGCGGGGGCGAATACGATGACGATGACGATGACGACGACGACGACGCCAGCGGCGGCGGCGGCGGCGACGAGGGCGACGACGACGGCGGCGGCGGCGGCGACGACGACGACGACGACGACGGCGACGACGACGACGACGGCGACGACGACGACGACGACGACGAAGACCGCGACCTCGAGGGGGACCTGGCCGACGACGACGACGATGAACTCGAGGGGATCTCCTGTCGTTGAAGCGTTCTGAGGGAGCGGGGGCGACGACGATGACGACGACGACGACCACCACCCCGAGGGGGCCTCCAATCCTCGGAGCGCTCCAATGGGGCGGGGACGACGACGACGACGACCTCGAGGTGAGCTCCCGTTCTTGGAGCGCTCCAAGGGAGCGGCGACGAACGCAACGACGACGATGACCTTGAAGGGACCTCTGGTCCCTGGAGCGCCCCAAGGGAGCGGGGACGACGACGACGACGACGACCTCGCGGGGAGATGATGATTATGATCCTGATGATGATGATGCTGCTGCTGCTGCTGATGATGATGATGATGATGATGATGATGATGATGATGATGATGACGAGGATGATGATGATAATGATGATGATGATGATGATGATGATGATGATGATGATGATGATGATGATGATGATGATGATGATGACGAGGATGATGATGATGATGATGATGATGATGATGATGATGATGATGATGATGATGATGATGATGATGATGATGATGGTGGTGGTGGTGGTGGTAATAATGATTATTATGATTATTATTATTATTTTTATTTTTATTATTATTATTATTCAGGTGATGGTGAGGTGATGATGATGCGAATAAGGACGGTGGTGCTGATGATGGTGTTGATGGTGATGATGATTGTTAGGAGGAGCAGGAGAAGGAGGAGGACGAGGAGGACGAGGAGGAGGAGAGGGGGAGGATAAGGTGGAGGAGGAGTAGGAGGAGTATGACGGAACGACACGGAAGAGGAAGGAGGAGAGCAGGATACGGTTGATGATGAGGGAGGAGCCTTCTCCTCCTCCTCCTCCTTTCTTGCTTCCTTTTCACCCCCCTTGCGTGCATGGCGTGTGCATCATTGCTTGGCTGGCGCGCGCATCCTTCTAAGGCCTCCGAGATTTCACCAGCGCAAGCTGGCCCTGCGGTTAAAATCGGTTTGGTCTGACTCTGGCGGGCCTTGCTGGATTCGGGGGAGAACCAATGATTAAGTGGACGCGCAGTGGGCGAAGGAAGCGGGGGGGAGGAGGCGGTGGGGGAGTAGGACAACGAAGAGAAGGGACAGGAGGAGGAGGAAGAGGAGGAGGAGGTGGAGGAGGAGGATGAGGAGGAAGAAAAAGAGCAGGAGGAGGAGGAAGAGGAGGAAGAGGAGGATGAGGAAGAGGAGGATTAGGATGAGAAGGACGGCGACCATGGCAAAGGCGGCGACACAGATGAAATATGACGGCGACGATAGCAGCCACGGCAACCCCTCGCTGTTCGCCTCAGTCTAGGCCCTCTCGGCCGCGGCCGAGATGCTCGCGACGCTGAAGGCGAGCCGCGCGGCCCGCGAGGATCGCAAACAGGAGCGCGTCCGCAAGGGAAGTTCTCTCTTCCTTCCTCCCTCCTTCCCCTACACCCTAGGCGATGCTGAAGAAAACTGAAGTTTTCGGCCAGAGTCTCGATTATTCTAAATGTTTCAATGTCAATCCTAAGATTTCGATAGAAATTCTGGGTTTGTAATCAAATTCTGAGGCTATGAATTTCTGAACCCATGATTTCTTAAGCACTTCGCAGGGTGTACTTCCCCCGAGCGACGGCAGGCAACGGGGACCGGCTGCGCCGAGACATTGGCGCGCAAAAGCTGCCCGCGCGAGGCCGCGCGCAGGCGCCATTCGCTTCCGTGCACCGTGCCGCGTGGGCGGCCCGCGGAGGCCGCCGCGCGAGGTCGCCATGCCGTCTTGCGTAGTAACCGTTTTTTGTTTTTTTTCTTTCTATCTTCTCTTTCACCTGCTCTCGGGCCCACGTTCGTTCCCCTCCCTCTCGCCCCCGCCTTCCCCGTGCTCCTCCGCCCCTCTCCCTCTCCTCCTCTCCCTCCCGCCCTCTTTCCTTCCCCTGCGCTCTCTCTCCCCCTTCTCCCCTTCTCACTTCCCCCTTCCCCCCTGGAGCAAACTCCCCCCCGCCACTTCTCCCTCGTCCCATCCTCCCATTCTCCCCGGCTTCCCTCTCCTCCCCCTTCCCGCCCCGTGCTCCCGGGGTTGCTCGGGTTTCGCTTGCAGACCTACGGGGCCACCTTGGGGCCCTCGTGGGGCCGTCGCAGGAGGACGCCTCTCGATGGGGGTCTGTGAGGAGCTTTTCGGGGGCTTTTTGAGATCTTTTGTCGGCTGTCCTAAGGCGTTCCTGGCCCGTCGGACGCCGCCGGAAACCGTGTTAGGCGCATCGCTGTGCCGTCTGGGAGCAAATCTGGGAGCGATTCAGGGCCGTCTTGGGGTCCCATTTGGCCGTCTTGGGACCCTCTTTCTTAGGAGCTTCTTGGGCCGTCGTGGGTCCATCTTGGAGGCCTGTGGGGCGATCTTGGGGCTTCTGGGGCCGTCGGAAGGCTGAAAACAATGAAGCGCCCAAATCCGGGCCTTTCTTAGAGGGCATCCTGGGCCATCTCGGGTGCATCTTCAGCCGTCTGCGAAATATCTGGCGGCCAATCTTGGGCTCTCTGGTTCCTGGGGTGGGATTTTTGCCGATTTATACATGTCTCATCCCCGCCCAGGAGCACAGGCGGAGCAGGCCCCCCCCCTTCCCGGCAGAGTGACCCCGGCTTCCCCGAGCAGAGCCGAAGCTCAGGCTCCAGGCTGTAGCTTATCTATGCCCTTTTGAAACTCACACGCCAGATCGGCGGATTTTCCAAGAGGCCACGGCCCGGACGATGCAGAGTCCGGAGTGGTGCTTCGTTCGTTCGCTCCCCGGTCCTTGTAAAACGGCGCGAAGATCGGGACAAAATCGGATCGGGATAACTCGAAATCTCTGAGAATCGGCGGGTTTGGAGGATGTATTGGGCGCCGCGGCCGCTCCAGAGCGTTCCGGAACGCTCTGAGAGCGCTCCGTAACGCTCGGGAGCGATTTATCCCGATCCTAGCCCTGTTTTACCTTGCCGCTTCTGCCCCCCTCCGAGCCCGAGCCCGAACCCGAGCCCGGGGCCTGGGCCCGAGTGCGCGTCCGAATCCCGGCCTGGGCTCCCGCCCGAGCACGGAGCCCAGGCTCCAGCCCTGGCCTCATAGGGGGCCGAGGTCTGCGCTCGCGCCTGAGCCTCTGCCCCCCCCCCCCGCCCCCGTTTCTCGAGCAGGGGATCGACTGCAGAATTGATTTACATACCCCCAGCATGCTGTTGTGTGCCGAATCTGTTATACATATAGATAGGTATATACATACACGCATCTCTCCCTATATATACACATATATGTATGTATATGTGTATGTATGTATGTATGTATGTATGTATATATATATATATATACATATATATATATACATGTGTGTAGGCATGCATACATGCGTGCATGCATGTCGGTCTGTCTGTCTGCCTGTCTGTATGTATGTATGTACGTGAGTAAGTATGTATGTATGTATGTATGTATGTATGCATGTATGCATGCATGCATGCATGCATGCATGTATATATGTTATGTATGTTATGTATATATGTATGTATGTAAGTATGTAAGTACGTATGTGTGTACTTATGTATATATGTATATATTCATGCATGCATGCATGCATGCATGCATGTATATATATATATATATATATATATATACGTGTATGTATACGTATATGTATATGTTTATGCATACATATATATGTATATGTATATGTATATGTATATGTATATGTATATGTATAGGTATATGTATACGTATATAGTTGTATATGTGTATGCATACATGTATATGTATATGTATTTGTACAGGTATATTCATATGCATATGTATATGTATATGTATATGCACATGTATATGTATACATATGTATATGTACTTGTATTTTTATATGTATAGGCATAGGCATATGCATATGCATGTATGTATGTATATGCATATGTATGTATGCATGCATTTATGTATATATGTATGTATGTATGTATGTATGTATGTATGTATGTATGTATGTATGTATGTATGTATGTATGGATACACGCATGCATGTATGCATGCATGCATGCATGTCTGCATGTATGTATGTATGTATGCATGCATGTATGTATGTATGTATGTATGTATGTATGTATGTATGTATGTAGGTATAGGAAGGTGTATATACATACATATATATATATATGTGTGTGTATCGGAGGTTGGGAGGTGAGATCGCCGTGGATCGGAGACCCCCAACCAAGAAATCGTTTCGTTTCGTTCGTGTCGTGCCTGCGGGCGAGGCGAAGCTGCGTGGGCGCGTGAGAGGAATGAACCCGCTGTTGCTAGGGCGAAGTCGAGACAAATGTTGCTCCCACGTCCGTCCGTCCGTCCGTCCGTCCGGCGGTGGCCCTAGCGGTGTCCCGCGGTGTCCAGTGGTGTCCCGTGGTGTCCGCCGTTGCTAGGGCGAAGTCAAGACACATGTTTCGCTCCCGTCCGTCCGTCCGTCCGGCGGTGGCTCGCGGTGTCCCCCGGTGTCCCATGGTGTCCCGTGGTCTCCCGTGGTGTCCGCCGTTGCTAGGGCGAAGTCAAGACACATGAGTCTCCCCCGCCCGCCTGTCAGTCCGTCCGTCTGGCGGTGGCTCGCTGTGTCCCTTGGTGTCCCGTTGAATGAGATCGATAGTGAGATCGATAGTGAGATCGATAGTGAGATCGATAGTGAGATCGATACTGAGATCGATGAGGTGCCCCGAGTTGTCCCGTGGTGCCCCGAGTTGTCCCGTGGTGTCCCGTGGAGTTCCAAAAAGTGAGATCGATAATTGGATCGATAGTGAGATCGACAGGTGTCCCGTGGTGTCTCGTTGTGTCTCGTGGTGTCCCGTTGAGTGAGATCGATAGTGAGATCGACAGTGAGACCGATAGTGAGATCGCCAGGTGTCCCGCGGTGTCCCGTGGTGTCCCGCACGCCTCGCCCGCACGCACGACACGAACTAAACGAAAAGATTTCCCGGTTGGGGGTCTCCGTTCCACTGCGATCTCCCCCCCCCTCCCCCCCACAACCTCCTTATCACCCGAAGGGTGGTCGTATGGGTATGTTGACACCTCCACAGATCTGAGGAGCGCGATCTTCACTTTTCGTAGATGCGGCGGAAAAATCAGGTCAGGGGCAAAGCAGTTCTGCAGTCGATCCCCTACAGTCAACCCGCATAGTAAGGATGGGCAACCTTCCCTCATCGGTCCATCCTTGCATCCTTGCCTCATCGGCTCATCCTTGGTCACTTTCGCCGGCCGCGCCCCGCTCGAAAAGCTTCGAGATGGGCGTCCAAGGCCCTTGCATCCTTATCGCGCATCCTTCTCGTAGACTCGGCGGAACAATCAGGTCAGGGGCAGAGCAGTTCTGCAGTCGATCCCCCACTCTAAGAAGGGAAAACACACAGACACAATGAATCGTCGACTCCCAGGGAAATAGGGGAAAATATGGGAAGTGGGGGGGGAAGACGAGAACCCCAAAAGTATGGGAAAATATGGGGGAACCTTTTTACTTGCATTTGTTTGTGTGTCCCAGGGCCCCTTCATCTGTCCATCCTTCCGTCCAGCCCCAACTTTCCAGGGTGGGGCTCTTGCCGTCCACCGTCCGGGCGATCGATCTTCCCGGGCGGCGCGCTCGGGCCCCCTGGGCCCCCCCCCCTGGGGTCCAAGGGCATCTTTGTATCCACGGCGGTGGACGTGTTGGGCACATCCAGGGCTCATTTCGACTCCTCCGATTCGATTCGATTCGATTTCGATGGCTTCCGATTCCGATTCGATTCGACTTGGGATTCCGATTCGGGTTCCGACTTCTTATGGGACGCATAGTAGCTTGCCGATTTCCGCCGATCCGACTTTTCCCGACTCGGCTGCCGATTTCCGCCGATCCGATTCATTTCGATCGCCGATCCGACTTATCGATTCGATTATGGGCTCTCCTGACATCGCCGCCGCGCAGCGTCGTGTGGGGGGCGGGAGCCTCGGCGGCAGGAGCGCGAGGAGCGCCGCGCGGAGAGGCAGGGCGGCGCCGCGGGCGACGGCGGGCCGCCCGCCGCCCGCTCCCGGCCTGCCGCGCAAGGGGGGGGGGCCTCTCGAGGAGGGAGGAAGGGCCCCCCCCTCCTCGAGGGGGGGGGGGGGGAGGGGGGGGGAGGGCCCCCCCTCCTCGAGGAGGCCCTCGAGGAGGCAGGGCGCGCCCTCCTCCCCCCCCTCCCCCTCCCCCCCCTCCCTCATCTCGGGAGGGAGGGAGCGGGAGGCCCCCCCCCCCCTTCGAGGGAGGCCCCCCCCCCCCCCCCCCCCAGGAGGGCCCGTGCCGCCCCCCCCAGGTGCTGCGGCGGCGCCGCGGAGCGGCCCCCTGGGGGCGGCCCGTGGGCCTGGGACCCCCCCCCCCCTCGGGCGGCCACGGCTGGGCGCGGCTCGAAGAGCTCTGCGACCTCCTTTCTCGGAGGAGGAGGAGGAGGAGGAGGAGGAGGAGGGAGGGGAGGAGGAGGAGGAGGAGGAGGAGGAGGAGGAGGAGGAGGGGGAGGAGGAGGAGGAGGAGGAGGAGGAGGAGGAGGAGGAGGAGGAGGAGGAGGAGGAGGAGGAGGAGGAGGAGGAGGAGGAGGAGGAGGTCGGCGTTCGAGCCCCCGTGGCGGAGCTTCCGGCGCCGCCCCCTGTCGTGCTGCGCGCGCCCTCGGAGAGGGGGGCGCAGCGCCAGCCGGACGAATCTCCGCGCGGAGGTCCGAGAGAGCGCGGTTGCAGCCGGACCGAGGTCTAGTCGGAGGTTGATCGACCTCCTAACCCTGGCACGTCGATTAGGCGAAGTGGCCGTTCTCGGTTCGCGAGAGGGCGTCGGGGGCCGTCGTTCTTGTGGGTCCAGGTCCGCCGGTTTCGGTCCCTGGCCGTTTTCCTCAAATGGAGGTTTACGAAAGGGAGGTTTGTCCCCCGCCGACTTTCGCGGAAGCGTAAACATAAACGGACACTGCTGGCGCAATAAACATGAACATCATGTTTTGGCGCCGTCAAGGAGAAAAAGGCGCCATAACCATACATTTGTGGCTCTCCGCGCGTATTTCTTGCATCCGCGCTGGGGCCCCCTGTCGGCGCCGCCCCTGGCGCGTTCCGCCCGCCAGGGGTTTTGGGGTCGCGAAAGCAGGAATAAAGGGGGCTTGGCAGGTTGCCCCAGGCCCCCGCGTTGGGGCATTCCCCGATGGTGAACACATGCCGCATTTTCGCCTCTCGCGCCGCGATGCCCCCGCGGATGCCCGAGGGGGCCTGGCGGCAGGAAGCGAGGGGGGCAGGAGGGCGTTGCCAACATATTTTCCTGGGGCCCTCTAGTGGCGCCCTGGGCGTTCTTTGGCGCCCCCGGGGCTCTCTTGGGCGATGTCAGCGCCGCGCTTGGGCCCCGCGTGTTACTCGGACACGAACGAAGCGAGGAGGTCCTCGTCACTGGCTCGATTTCGGATTAGGGATGACTGGGGCCTCTCGGTGGTGTCCTTGCGGAATTCCGCGGGCAATTGGAGCTGTCATGTGGTGGCAGTGGGACCGCCTGGAAACGCGTTGGAAGCTACCCTGTGCCGCGTTGGGCAATGTCGATAAGATGTCGAGGTAATATTTGGGCTTACCTGGGCCCATGGCTGCGGCGTCGCAACCCCCGAAGCGCCCCGACGCTTCGCGAGACTCTGGCCCAGACTCCACTGGAGGGATACGAGGCGGGACAATCCCATTCACGGAAGGGCAGACGGGGGCTCGAATAACGAGCCCGCGAGACCACCAACGCCCAGAGGGCTGAGGGAACTTGCCAGTGACGGTCCCCCCGTCCAATCCAGCTGCCGTTGCTCCTCCTTCCCTCTTCCTCGTGGCTCGTTCCTCCCCCCTCGGCCCTCCCCCCTCCCCCTCTGTTTGCCTCCTGCGGCGCCCCCCTCCCCTCTCTTCTTCCGTCGCCCCCCCCCCTTTGCTGCTCGCGGATCAAGTGGCGCGCATGAGTGTCCGGTAGGCTTTCGAGCTGGCTTCCGCTGCTAACGGCGTGAAGCGCGCTCGTGGTCCTCTGCGCCGTTGCGGAAAGTGGCCTGGGATCTGGGAAATAGTCGCCCTGACTCCGGCTGAAATGTCGCGGGGTCACGGGGCGAAATAAAAAACGGGTTGGTTCGATCAGGGTTTCTCCGCCCCCAAACTGGGGCCTCCTGCAGGTGCTTACCCCGGAAACGAGCCAAGGACCGGCTACGAGTCCATCGACAAGGACCGAGTGCCTGCGCCGCGTCCAGCCTGGCGCTGGCTGCTAGGGCGCACCCCGAGCCTTTTCGATGAAACTCGCCCGGGTCACGCGCTCGCTAGAGTGCAGCGCTAATCCGCCAGGTGGGGCCTGGAGCTCGAGGTCAGAGCTTGCGTTGGCGGCTCAAAGCTCGTGCTCGTGTTGCCCAGACACGTTGGCGATCTGGAGATCGCTGGACAAAAGGGGCGTCGTCGACTAGTTCGTCGGCCACGTCGACAGCGACTTCGGCAAGATGAAGGGGGGCAACGACGACTTCGCCAAACGCGGTGCCCACCAAAGCCGCAGCCCCGACGGCGCCGTGGCGCTCGACCAGGACGAGTACATCGACGCCCCGACACCTATGAGGCGCGCCGGCCCGGTCAAAACGAAGGCCGACCTGCCTGCGGGAGGTCAATTACGCGACGTCTTCGTCTTCTTGCCAGGGGCAGCCGCGCGCGCCCCTCTCGCCCAGCGCCGCGTTGCAGCGTGCGTCGCGGCGCCGCAGCAAGCCGGAAGCCAGCTGCAAATACGACGTGTTATGAATTTCAACTCTGCGGTCCTCGCCGCGTGGAAGATCAAGGTGCGCGTCGCATTTCTTGCCGTGGCGCCCGCTGGCCAGATCTGCGCGCGCAGCGACGTGTCCTTCAAGAGGGGGGGCGGGGCGCGGCATGGAGGGTGCCGTCTACGTGCGCCTCGGCATGCGTCGCAGCACTGACAAGGCAAGGAAGTCTGCCATTTGCTGGATGCTGTGAGCCGATCCCACAAACGTGTGCGTGCGTCTTCCTTTGGCCCCGAGCTGCTCGCAGCATGTGGCGCAGCTGGTGGCTTGCAGGCCCACCTCCTCAAGTTCCACGAGATGATCTAGGACCCTGTCTCAGCCGAGGAGATCAGGAGGCCGACGGAGGGAAGCAACGCCATGCCGGCAAACTTGGTCGTAGACGGTATATCCGTCTTCGCAGCCGTTGCCGGCCATGGATTTTGTGCGCCCGCCTTCGGAGCACAGCATGGCAGGCCACCAGTGGTGGCTCTCCGACAAGCTCTGTACCAAGCAGATCACCGACGTGCACTGGTGCGATACCCGCGACGCGAGGGCCGACCCCATGACGAAATGGGGGCATCGGCGGGGAGCTGATGTTGGATGTGATGGGCGGGAAGCTCAAGTACGACAGCGCCAAGGTCAGATTTCACGATGGCAGGCGCAATAATGCCGTGTTCAGTTCTCGCCGCAGCGACCTCAGGCCGGAGGAGGATATCGTTTCACTGACAGAGTGGTCAGCGGGACGTTGCATGTACTCTGGTTGGGGAACGTATCTTCGGCGGTCGTATGTCGCGACCTGTACTCGCGAATGCGACAGAGTGAGAGGCAGTGGCAACATATGCGAACTCTGTTCGCACATGCGACTTAGTGGGTCATGCAACCACGGTTTGGTTCAGCGAACTGTGTGCGTGGGGTACCAGCTTTGACGTGCAACGCAATCGATATCTTCCGTGCTTTCCCAATTATCAGCTCCCACCCTTCTTTTAGTTTTCTGGTGGAGGTTTTTTTTTAAATGGGCTTTGGCTTGTCCTATGGAGTGTCGGGTGTACTTCCGCCCCTTCTACGGGCGCCGTAAAAGTTTTTGGCGGTTGGCGCCATGGGGGGGCCAATGTGTTTTTTGAGAGTGGAGTGAAGGCCGATATCCATCGACCTGCCGGAACAGGCGAACCTTCCCCTCACTGGAGCTGTTTCTGACGCCTCGTTGGTTGCGGCACGGCTTGCGTGTTGTAACCGACGGGGCGCAGCCTGTTTTCGTTGGAGCGCCAGACTCGAAGGGTGTCCTTGTATATGCTGTTTGCCTTTCCTGCCTTTTTCCGCGGCCCCTTGGGGTCCACAGGGGCTTCTTTCGGTGCCCGCATTCGATTTGCAAAAGACACGTGTTCAGTGAAAACGTCAGTGTTCCACCACATCCGCATTCATAGTCTTCCGCTCTCTGACAAGCATGTGGCAGCCAAGGTGCTGGAACCCGCTCTTGCTTTGGACTCGCGCTGGCCGTGAGATAGCACAAGGTGGCGTGGGAAAGCATGTAGTTTCGGCATGTGGTCTCTGCCCCTCCCTGCTTTGTGTTCGGGCCTCATCCCGCTGCTCTTTCGTGCTGGCGTGTCGTGCCTTTGTTGCCCGAAGTGCCCATTCCAGTCCTCTTTCCCTTC